GTCAATCAATAGCCCCTGCAGGAGCAGAAACGCTCACGTGGACGAATACACCTCGGTGCCGAGGGACTAGCATGATTAGGGACCGATATATCCAAACTGACTGAGGGATACGTGACGATCCATGGCGTATTGGGGAGCCTTGATCCCTGTGAATAGTACCCTCGAGGAAGGGGATTATAGACCGACGAGGACGTGTCGGGATCACAGCAAAGAGTCTCCGTTGGCGCCGAGTACACGTGTCGTCATCTTGGTGTGTCTGAAAATGTCCCATCAGTAATGACAGCCTGGGTATTTATAGACAATCTAGTGATTATTTTGGACAGCCACCATACAAAAAGACACAACCTAGAAGACAAATGCAGCTACAAGACACCACTTGTTTAACTATTCTCTATGGACAGACGAAACTTAGAATTTCAGATTAAACAATTTTTTTTTCCAAAAAAGGTAAGGCTTGGTCTAAACTACATTCACACCCGTGCCTGGCCCAGTCGGGTTGGGTCATGTTAAGGCTGACGGGCACATGTGTGGTTGAACCGAAGGTAAATAGATTACACAACCTCTATTTTCACATTTTAAAAGGGTCACTTTGAAGCCTATTTTCTTAGTCATTTCTTACTCGATTTGAGCAATTAAATATATTATGTTATTCTCCTCATGGAATAGAATACGAACTCATAAAAGTTTACTCAAAACAATGAACAGGTCCCATTTTAATTTAGGCTCAAAGTCGACTAAAAATTAGATTTTAATTACTAAAGTCTATTTTAGTCCAACATAACTAACTTCCACCGTACGTATTATTTAGTGTGACCACTAAAAAATTGCTTATACACTAAATAACTGCTTATATACGATTACTAAAAGATTGACTTTCATTCATTAGGCCAATGTGAAACTAAGAAAGAGAGATGTGTGTAAGATGACATGTAAGCAAATGCTAAGAGAAGAGGAGAGATATTCACAATTAGTACCACAAGACCAAGACTGACATGGTATATAATCGACCTAAGTTCAATTTTCATATTATTGGTTTGTGAAAAGGAGAAGGAAAGAAGTCATGGTGTTGCTCTCACTCTTAGACTATATATGCTGGCACCTTGATGATGCACAAAGGTATTTACACAAAATCAATCAAGAATGTAATGGAGTATGTGATGGGGGTATGCTCAACACAGTAAAAGACAGATTAAGTGGATTGGTCTGAGTAACCTACTCAATTGAATGACTACGGTGGTTCGAGGATCTTGTTACTCGAGGCGTGTAGAGTGTAGAGATTTGTGTGTTGCCCCCATATGTAGGTGAGGTTTACAATTTATAAGCAAATAAAGTTTGCTTTGAGGGAATCCTGATTGAGGCGTCATTCACGTGGAAGGGAGCGGGGTGGTTTCGTGAGGCTGAAGTCATTCTCGTAATGGTGTGTGAAGCTGACGATGTGCACCTTGATGATTGTGTTCCACATATTCCTGTTCCTAGAGTGGAGATCCTCATGGACACAGGTAATAGACTAAGTCTTTCAAAACGGTGGGCTTGGCTGAACTGAAATTGTGACTAAGTCTTTTTTGGTCTGCATCTGTGATTTGGGTTGGGCCCATCACATCTCTTTGTTTTTTTTTGGTAACGAGGGAAATCTCTAGTCTATCTTCGACAAGTAAAGACACATTTATGTCACTCAGGCTTGTGAGTCTAAGTAGAATCGAGGGCAAACCCCCAGTGTATGAATTAGTCTCTCAACTTATACACTAGTTAAATTAGAACTTGCGCTTCAATGAGAATTCGAACCCACACCAGAGTTTTAGATACAATTTGTCCAAGCAACTGATGTTCGTCTTACTAACTAATCACATTTTTTATCACCCAAGAGATTTGAACCCTTGATTTCAAAAAAGTATAACCTTTACAAGATAAGGAATACCATTGGACTAAAGGGCGGTTGGTGAGGTTATGTTTTGACTTGTAAAGTTAATTTTTCGGATTTGACTTTGGTATTGTCAAAAATATTTTGGTACCATACCTCCAAAAATTTACTACTTTAAAGGATGTTTTTATAACTTTTGTGGATCATTTTATAATCAAAAAAATTATTACTTTTGCGGTTGATTTATCACTTTTGGAGCTATTTTTATCACTATTGTGAGTATTTTTACCGTATTTATGGTAATTATTTTTACTATTTTTCTTTAGTACAAAAAAAAATTACCACTTTTATGGATAATTTATCATATTTATGAGTGTTTTTATCATTATTATGGTAACTATTTTTGTTATTTTTTAGAATTCCACAAGAGTGATAAAAAAATTCACAAATATAATAAATAGAAGTATGGTAAAAAAAAGAAGGGAGAATTACACTCAGACTATCCGAGGATTATTATTTAATCACTCAGACCCCCTGATATTTAAAATATTACATACAGATCCTCTAAGATTGTACGCACGTAATATTTAGACCTCTGCTGTAAATATATCCTTAAATAAATTACACTTAAACCCTCTTGAAGTTTGTACATATATAATAATTAGACCCTTTAAGTTTAAAACATTATACTTAGATCAAAAATATTCCAATCAAAGATAGAATATTAAATATTTTAAATTTTACAATCAAAATTCATGCTTTATTGTATTATTTATTGAAATAAAATTAAAATTAAAAATTTAATTTTTTCTTAAAAAATTGTAATTAGTATACAACTATACTATCTATTAGAATAAAATAAAAAAAATCAAATAAAGGGTCTAAGTTATTCATAAAAGAACATAAATTTTATGTCCAAAATTCATGTTCTATTATGTCATTTATTGAAATAAAATCAAAAATAAAAATCTAGTTTTTTTTTTTTAAAAAAACATAGTTAGTATATAATTATACTATCTATTAGAATAAAACTAAAAAATTAAACAAGAGGTCAAACTATAATGAACACAATATCTTTTAGCTTTAATTGAGGTAGTTTAGTATTTTAATTTGGTCGTTTAAACAATCAAATTAAATTCCAATAGACAATATAATTATATACTAATTACGATTTTTTTAAGAAAAATTTGAATTTTTATTTTTGAATTTATTTCAATAAAAGATACAATAGAACATGAATTTTAATTGTAAAATTTAAAATATTTGATATTTTATCTTTGATTGAAGTATTTTTAGTTTAAGTATAATATTTTAAATTTAAGGGGTCTAAGTAATATATGTTTACAAACTTCAGGAGGTCTAAGTATAATTTATTAATAGATATATTTACAGGGTCTAAGTAATATTTTAAATATCAGGGGGTCATAGTATTTAAGTGACAAATCTCAAAGATCTTATTGTAATTCTCCAAAAAAATAAAAATAAAAGAGTCAAATCCTAATTTTTCTGGTATCTGTACCTGATAAGTGAGCATAGGTTTGGATGTGGCCTGGTTAGCTGAATTGTTTAATCACTAGAGATAACCCGTGTCAAAAAATACGGTGCAAGTAAAAAAAAATTGAACATTGAATTTGAAGGCGAAATAATCAAGCACTGAACTCAGACACGTACTAAACTGAAAGCCTAAATTACCTTATATCATGTGTTTAAAGGCACCGTACATAATTTTTAAACACGAAATAATTAAACAATGAATATAAACATACATTAAGTTGAAAATCGTTTGGTCATTTTTAATGTCATAACTTTAGTGAAATAAAAAGAGTCAAAAGTTGTCATCAACAAATACTTTGACAACCTAAAATAAAAAATAAAAAAATTACATTAAATCAAGAATACTCCAAGAATATAAAGAAGTCAATAACCTAGTACATCATGAACTCAAAAATTGTACACAAACACATTAAATTTTTTTAAGACCAATCTAACATGTGATTGGCAGTATAGTCCTTGAAGCATCATTGGAACAAAAAACATCATTGGATCCCCAGAAAATTTATTTAGAAGTGGTAATGATTTTTATCATAGAAGCTCTGAACAATAACCACATCAGTTCACAAATTTCATAAAAACAAAAATCAAACTCACACAAATTAAACCTTGACTTCGGCTATGGCAATGATGGGTGGGCGAAGTCATCGACAAACCCAAATAAGATGATCACATCAATGACATCATAGGATATTAGAATGTGTCTTCATTTTACTGAAGCAATACTACAAAAATGTTTGCCATCATATAAAAAAACAAACAAAATCTACTCAAATTTTTTATATTTAAACCATTACAATTATTCCACACCAAGTCATCCCGGGTAATTACAATGCAATCAATCAACCACAAGTAACATTACAACTTAAAAGCATACATGCAGTCACAGAAGCACAAAGAATGGCAAGGTAAAAGCATTTACATATACTATCAGTAATACCAACATGACACCATGGCCTACGTCAAACCCATAAAATTCATCAAACTAATAGCAAGTAGAGGGTGCAAAAAAGATGAGAGTCACCCTTTTGTTGGCAGCGATGCATCCGCAACTCTTTGAAAAATTTCATCGAACATGTGATAGGTGTGTACGAATTTAGTCCAATGTAATATAAACACAGTCCAATGCCTAGACAAATAAGGGAAAAAAAACCACCAAACCAATGAACTCAACTCCCACTATCAGACTACCAAAATCATATTTTATGAAACCACTCAAAAACAGGTTTAGACTCTAATCAGGAGGAGTAATTGAGATGAGTCCAAAATTGCACTGAAGACAGCTAATAAAGCAACATAAGTTTGACAGCCACTTCTAAACAAAATCAACGTTGATTATGTTGATAAAGATGAGAATCAGATTGGTAACATAAAAAAAAAAAAAAAAATGGAAAACTCTGCTTATTTCACCATCAGGCAACAAACAGCATCTACATTAAAAATGTCTGCCAAAAAAAAAAGTAAGTTAGAGATTCAAAACAGAGCAATTTTTTTTTTTTTGGGATAGAAATTAAAATTAAAATTTGGGATAGAAATTAAAACTTCAAAAGTAAATCCAAGAAAGAAAAGTTTGGGATAGAAATTAAAATTAATGCTAAAGTTCGGAGTATTTGTGATGTTTCAGCATGTGATGAGACGTCATGATCTCAAGAGCACTTACAGAACAGTAAATCCTCTCCACTTTGTTACCTGGAGGCTGAATCATCACTGTCGCTGCCTCCGCCGCTTGACAATTCACACACAACACACAGAGATATGATCAAATCAAACTCCCCTGCTTCAATATCGTTCGGTTCAGTTTCTGAAATTAAACTTCAAACTCAAACTGAGGGAATTAATGGATGGGAAGGTGTTTGCGCAGAGGGGGAAGGGTGGGGAGGGGGAGTACCTGGCTATAGCGGTGGTAGTGGCAGTGGCTCTGGCTGTGGCTTTGATGGTGGTAACACTGACATAGAGAGAGAAAGAAGTGAAGAGGAAATGAAGAAGAAGGTAAAAAAAAAAACTGAAGGCATGGATGTAGCCGCCTGTTGTCTGACAATGGGTGTAGGGGTGTCAGACGCTTCAATTTAACTATGAACACCAGCTGCAATGTGTGTACTGGTCCACAAAGAATGGAATTCGCATTGTGAAACAAACTGCATTACAATTTACATACCTTTCTACCAGCAAAAGATGGGATAAATCATCCCACACATGTAGTATAAATTGAAGCCATTTTTTTCTTCTTCTGGTAAATCAATTTGAAGCTTTAATCAGTCTAAAAACTCCATATGATGTCAATTCAACACATCTGCCTCAAACTATTTTACAGACTTTGTACAAATTCTCTACCTTCTCCAGTACATGCTATAGAAATACTAGAACAATATCGATCACATAGCCACAAAGCTATTTCCCATTAATTGTACAATAAATGTTCACTTCATCAACCCCCTGAGAAGATGGATTTTTTTTATACCTGCACGTAATTAGAAGCAACAAACCACATCTTTCCCCCTCATCCAAAGCAAGAAGATAATCACAATGCTTTCAGGTTCACAATTATCGGTCACTTCAATTAATAAAAAATGAAAAAACAAATCATAGGTAAGCAAAGCAAATTAGTTTGAAATGAGATTTTTAAAAACATTCAGTCACCTTAAAAAAAAATAAGATTATGAATAATCGAAACTAATAATACCAAGCACTCCACCCAATTACCAACACAACTAAAAAATTAGAAATTGAACTCGATATGGTTTCAATGCAATTATTCAAGAAGTTCAATCTAAAGAAGACTCAAAGAATCAAGAAACAAAAAAAATGAACTCAATATCATAATTGGTTGAATCGACCAACAAAGACGGCTCTGGAAGTGAATCTCTTGAATACACAAACGGCTCGAGAGAGGTTGTAACCAACAGAAAATAAAATCATAAAATTTAAAAAATTAATACCCACAAAAAGTAGAGATAAAACTCCCCATAGGAAACCATCAAACATTACAACGAGCTCCATCAATGGCTTCGACAAATATTGATGAACAATTTACTCGGCTTCATCGCAACACCAAGAACGTTGATGAATAGTGCATCTGACAAAGCAAAGCAAAACCAATTTACTCACATAGACAAAGCAAAACCAAGAAACCAAAGATAATCCAATCCAAAACCCAAATAAATTAGATAGTTTGGAACTTGGCCTAACACAAAGCTCCAAAAGAGACCCATTGCTCCAAATCACAACTGATCGCAGCATACCATTGCTCTACACAATGCCCAGATTTAAAAACAACAAACACTTGTGCATCATATATACAATAAAAAAAAAAAAAGCTACCACAGACTTGAATATGATCCTAAAATGTTAAAAAAAAAAAGAAAAGTTGGAAGGAAACTAATCGAATGGTAGCCGAAGAGAAAACTTTAGATGTAATCCAAAACAACTCATAAACTCACCATTGGGAAAACATAGTCAAAAGGCAACTACGTGCAAGTAAAATGCCTGCTTATCCAATCACGAACACTTGAAATCTGCCACAATAAAGAAACAAAATAAGTAGAGCATATGAAATTTGCCACAACAAAGAAACAAAATAGCAAATCCACAAAACAAAATTTAGAAATTTGTAACAAAATCAAATCAATAATTTGAAATAAAATAAAAAATTTTGGAAAAGAGAGAAAACCTGATTTCAAGTTGATTCATGCAAGTTCCAGAAAACGTAAATATCGATTACATCCAAGCCTCCATCTTTTGATTTCCGAATAAGGCCAGACAACATTTGCGCCTAAAGGTCCAACCACATTTGTGGTTACTGCAAATAGGTAGACAAACAATATGACAAATAAATCATTAAAAATGTATGAAATGAATCTTTAAGAATTTATCTTTTGAATTCCCAAGAAAAATTGACATATTTATCTAGCTACACCCATTATTCAAACATAGATACACATATTTTTTAACCTACACAGTGAACATATTGACAATAAATTAAGCAAAGAAAGATGAAGCATAGGACGCAAATTTTCAATAATAATACAATACAACCACTCATTATTGACAAACGAACCAACTTGTTTGGACCCAACTCTTTCAATTTCATTTCCAAACCACTCAACAGCGCAAACCTCCAAAACTCCTAAAAGTAAACACACCCCAAAACATCAAGAACCAACAGCACAACCCTTATCAATTTTAATTTAATTTAATTTTCCCAAATAAATTAAAATTGAATTAAATTTTGAAGTGAAAATAGATTCAAAATTGGTTCTATCTTATTATTATAGATTTAGTTATGGTAAAATTTAGGCAAAAAAAAAAAGGTTATACCAAAATAATAAATTGGTTAGAAACAGATTGATAACACGCCACACCAGTGGTTGGAGTTAATGTAGAAAAAGCAACCAAACAAAAAAAAAAAAAGAAGATACAAATACAATCTCATCATAAGTTGCTAACCTGCTATTAAAATTCCCAAAATCATTTGATTCCATACAATTTTAGCCAAATTTTCCTGAGAAATATACAAATCAACAAAAAACTAAAACTAACATTTTGTATGCAAAATTCGGCTAAGCCAATGAGATTAAAAAGCAATTGCAATTACGAAGGACACAATTTTTAGGCAAAAATAAATGAAGCAAGAACAATTAAGACCCAAAAAAGTTGTCAATGGCTTTTTTTCCTTCACTCCGATATTTCGTCGACCACCTGAAATGCAAAAGTGTTGGCTTATGGTAGTGAAGTGCTATTTTTTTCTCTTTGATATTTTGTCAATCACCTAGTATTCAAAAAAAAGAAAAAGGCAGGGGTTGCATGGTTTAATAACAAGGGTTATTAGTTTTATAAAATTTTTGTGTATATGTGTATTTTTTTCTCTTTGATATTTTGTCAATCACCTAGTATTCAAAAAAAAAAAGGCAGGGGTTGCATGGTTTAATAACAAGGGTTATTAGTTTTATAAAATTTTCATGTATATGTGTGGGTGTAGGTGTGAGTGTTCTATACGGATGTACACATAATACTTATACACACCTACAATAAAAGACACAAAAATAATCCTCAAGAAACATATAACTCAAATTGAATAAATCAGTAGATCATAGATATTTGTTAAATCCACAGATTCATTCTATTTTAAAAATGTCAAAATTAGATAAGTATAAATGTATAAGGTCTCCAATTTTTCACATGTTGATCCTATACTTAAACTAATCCAAGTAGACACACATTAATCAACTTTAAAACCAACACATGACATAAGATTTAAATAATCAAGGAGAACCACATTAACAAACTACAAAACCAATACATTTTAATAGGATTGATGAATCTTAAAGGAAATGATCAAGCAACCAACCTGAATGTTAGGCGGGGACCAACAATACTACCATTGATGAATCTTAAAGGAAATGAGTCTTTGACCAAGACACCCATAGATGAACCATGATCAGCATACTGGACCTCGTAGTCACATTGCTCGTCGGGGGTTTCGCAAGGGTGGTTACTAGGCCAGTGAAGAGAACCACAGAGGGTATCCTTACATGTGACAACGTTTTGTTTGGCTTGTAAAGAGTGTGAGGGGCCTGCACACACAAACACAAAGAGGTTATGGACTATGGGCAATAGTTTTAGGGTGATTTTGCATGTATGGAAAAAAAATGAAGAATTGACAATTACTGGAGTGCATTTGGTACAAGGTGCATCACACTAAAGCCAGGTGAGGTCACTGCCAGTGTCCATATCAAGAAAGTAAGGTTTGGATGGGTGGCCTATGTTAAGTGTCACTTGATAGTACCTGCATAAAGAAAAAACATTGACACAAAATGGATCCCGCTCAAATACCATGAATTTCGATCATAACTGAAAAGGGAAGGAACAGAAATAAAATTTGGAGATATTATAGAAAAAAGAAAATGTAAATGGTACTAAACATATTTATTATAGTAGTTAGAGCCCAAGTGGCAATTGACATACTGATGCAGAGTGCTATCAAAAACAAAATGCGGGAAGATGTACTAAAGAGAGCAAATGATGATACATCAAAAGGCAGGATGCATACAGGATGGCCAACTGCCCTCTAAGGTTTGAAAATTCCCTTAAAATTACATTCCATTTGCTAAAGAACTACAATTGTAAATTGTACAGTTGTCCCAATTTTTTTCACTTCACAACAGTTGTCCCAAATTCCCTTACAGTTGTTCCATTTGCTTATGCACCACACATATTATCTTGTGGGGCCCAAAAAATTAGCCTTTTCTTCTAATGTATAGTGCAGAAGCATTTGGAATATGCTTTGGGAAGCATAACATTTCTCTTACTAAGAAATAGCATGACGGAATCAAGGTAATATGTATCCCTAATGCTTCTACATACGAACACACATCAACCCCCCAAAACACACACACAGAGAAAGGCTCACAAAAACAATAGTTAGAAAAAGGTGCAGGCAAAAGGTGATCAGAGAATTAGAATGTTTGGTTTGAGGAAAAAATGAAATATTAAGTAGACCATTTACTCAGAAAATTTCAAAAGAAACACAAAAGGTCATTAAGATTCCCCAAGAGTAGCTAGAAATCAAGGTCACATAAAAAAGGCTAGAAGTCCCACATAAATAAATTTCAGGTAATTAAAGGAAAGTCGACATAATCCAATAACATACCAAGAATCTTCCCTGTAAACAAACAGAAAATTCATAAAAACCCAAAATCTCCCAAGAAACCCACAATCGAAGAGAGCATGCAAACCGCATAACCATAGGCTAATCAAACACCAAAACAATACATGTATACAAATATACCCACAGATAAGAGAAAACCCATCAAGATCACATCTAGCAAATCTAAAGAAACCCCACAAATAAAATGACATATACCCTTTAGGATAGACATTCCCAGTGACAGGGAAGATCACAGAGGATCCTAATCGATCCTCGATGGCCGTTGATTTGGATTGCTTCTTGATCCTCTAAGGCGGATTGGAAGCAAAAGAACAGCTTTGTAGCGATCAGAGGCAAAAAGGGGTCAAAAAAGGCAAAGGTAGACGTCTACAAGTCCACTGGATTGTCTGAATAATTTTTTGTGGTGGTGGTGGTGGTTCTGGCGCTGGTTGTAGTGGCTATGGATTTGGAATGGGAGAGTTGACAGTATAAGAGATAGATGAAAAAAAAAGTAAGATGTCAGATAGAGGAATGATGGGTGAGGGAGGGTGGGATGGATTGGGAGGAAATTCAAACTCATATGTTTTAACTTTCAGACGGTTGGATGTTAAAGCTGTCATGTTTTATATTATAGATTATAGATTCTACAGCAATGCAATCAAGAGAACTGATTAAAGAAAAATGTATGATGCAATACCAGAAAGCCTGAAAATTGATAAATTAAATTATAGGAGACAAAAGACCAAAAAACTATCGAAGGCAAAAAGAAATCTCTGTCTTTCTATATGGCAAAAAAAATATGTTCTGATTCTTTGCATAACCATATCAAAAAAAATGTATAAAACAAAGACCATGATTACAACAGAATCATATTTAAGTTTAACAGAAATTGGTACCAAGTAAACAATTGAAATTTCATACGCACCAACCACTATAGCTGCAACAATCTTTAACTGGGGAGGATTAACACCCTATTTCAAAACCATAAATTAACACCCAATTCAAAACCCTAGAGTAACATATTGGGTATGCCATGATGTGTGTGCATGTGAAAGTGATTGGGTGCTCTAGCTGGGTGGGGGTGTGTTTGTGTTTGTTCGACTGTGTGTGTGACTATGTGTGCCTGCGTAGAGAGGGAGGTGAGAGAGAGAGGGAGGGAGAGGGAGAGGGAGAAGAGCTTACCTGGGTCGGTGGGGTGGCCGGTGAAGGGTGAGAGGGAATAGAGAGCTCGCACAGACGAAGAAGAGAGACGTCGATGGTGGTGGTGTTGCTGACGAAGTGGCGCTGCTACTGCTGGTGTTGCTGGGGTGTAACACAGAGAGAGAGAGAGAGAGGATTGCAGAGGAAGCAAAGGCAGAGGCAGGCATGGCGTGAGAGAGGTCTGAAAAAGAAAAAAAAGAGACGTAGGGGGCAGGCTGCATCTCTGACAGAGTGACTGAGGGTGACCTATTTTTGAAAAAAAATGAGTAAAAGGAGTTGAATTCGGAGGGAAATGAAAGATTATTAATGACCATCGGATAAAATGAATTGTGATCATTCGATCGGCTTGTTGAAGCCCGCTATGTTTTATATTATAGATAGACAGGGCAGAGCAAGAATATTTTTATAATAGGGGCAAACTAAAATTCAGTAATAAATTAAATTTAAAATATTAAAACTATTTGCACAAAAAGATTAAAAAAAGAACGACAATCTAAGGTTCAATCAATATACATATATATAGAAAAAAAGCTAACAAAAAGGGTAACCAATATTATTTGTTATACATTTATAATTACCGTACAGTTATTTACACCAACTCTTACAGTTATTTAAACCGAGTCTTACTGTACAGCTATAATTATCATTTATCGGATATTTTCGTGTCGTGTCATTGTTCTTCGTATCGTATTCATGTCAAGAGTCACAAAAAAATTTATTTAGTGTATTTTGACCGTTAAACATTAATTTAGACCATATATTATACGTATTTAATAGTTGTATCAATTTTAAAATTATGTTGTATCGTGTCGAATTTGTGACCGATCAAAGTTGACACCCCTATTAATAACCTATATGTCACACATGTTCTTAGGGACAAACAACATGCATTGCAGTTGGACAAAATCGTGAGACTCCTTAAACTGAAAGAATTCTTCCATTACAATATTTGTGAGTGTTATTTGAACTAAGTTTGTCGAACTTAAGTACATTGAAGCTCAACTAAGTTTTGATTAGCCGAGTGCAAGTTTGAATCGAATTCAAGTGTTGAGTTTTGTTATTGCTCAAGCTCAACTCGACAAAAGTTTGCAAGCAGTATTTTAAAACCCGGCCCGGCCCGGCGGGTTGACCCGGTGAACCGGTCCCCTAACCGGGCTGGTTTTGTAAGTGGACCGTTTGAGTAAAGAACCCGAAATAAAACTGGTGAATTGGTCAAAAAACCGATAACCCGTGAAAACCGGACCGGGTTTATAAAACAGGCCGGTTTTGTTCCTTTAGTATAAATATATATATTTTTTACATTTTTGTGTCTTTTTCTTTTCCCTTTCTGTTTTGCCCTAAATCCTAAATCATTCATTCAGTGTTTGTTAACTCAAAAATTAAGTTAATGCAATTAAGTGATTCAAGTTTAAGGGTTGAGGCTGCGTTGTTAATTGAATGCATTGATTTGTTAATTGAATGCAATTAAGTGATTCAGGTTTGATAACTTTGTTTGATTTAATATATATTAAACATTTTATTTTTATAACTATTTTAATTTTTTAGTCTATTTATCATCATTAATAATTATTTTTTATTATATCACCGGTTCGACCAGTGACCCAGTGGTTAAACCAGAAATTCATTGACCTGGTCCCTTCTCCGGGTTGGTGTCCGGGCCGGGTTTTGAAACTATGCTTGCAAGCATTTGTGTTGAACTTAAGCCCAAATCAAGTTCAATTTCCTAGCAGAAGTCTTCAAAAATAAATCCCAAAAATCATGTTATCAATGTGGATATCTTAAACCCAAGATGGGTGGTACTAGTCCCATACCCTCATCGATTGGGTATAATGGAAAAATAATAAAAATCTAAAAATCAAGCTCCTTCCTAAAATAAAATACATAACTAAAATTAATATATCTTCCCGAAATCAAGATCTTTCTAAAAAATAATTCATTCCTCAAAGCAGGTAAGTTCATTCTAAAAACAATCACGAAAGACATTAACTTGCGTATTAGAACTAAATATAAAATTACTATAATTATTAAAATTAAAGTGTACCCTTATTGAGAATGAAATATCCATATTCAATTAAGATTTAAGAATACTCTTATCCAAATGGGGGTTACAAGTTCACAATTACAAGCCACTTTAAGACAATTTTCAACCTTTGTCACATTTGGTAGGTGATAATGAAACGTGAGAATGGAATGACTAGGGGTGTTCATGCGTCAGGTTATCCACGAGTCTTGTTACTCGGCTTGAAAAAAATAGGCCCGAAATCCGATAGACCCGATAGTTAGTCCGTCCAAACCTGAGCCCAATATTCTTAAAAAGAGGACTTAGATTTATCCCCAAACTCATTACTCGGCTTGAAACCCAACCCAATAGCCCGCCCAAAAAAACCCGTCCCAAGAGTCTGCCCCGCCCACCCTTCATTTGAAAAAAAATTATACTTTTAGACCATTAAATTTGAAACTTTGAAATAAGTCTCCCAATGTCAGAATTTGAAATTTTAAAAATTTAGATATTATAAATAATGTATTATTATTATTTTTTTATGTATTAAGCATACAAGTTTTAAAGGGTAGAGTAATGCAAATGATAAATAAGTAAGTAAGTGTCAACCTAATTGAAATGTATTCATTCTATTGGATGTAATTTATTCCCTAATCAAAAATAAAATTATTTATTATTTTATTTTGATATATTTTGACTCTACTTTTGATTCAAAAATATAATTTACACAAATATTAAGTTACAAAAATGTTCATTATTTTTAAAAGAAGTTGTATATAAAAAAGTCAGCAAGCAAGTTCGCCCAGCAAGTCTGCTCAATAGGCTGGCAAGTTGGGCTGTGGCTAGCCTACCCTTACCTGAAGCTTGGTCCGGCCTGCCCGATAACTCAATTGGGTAAAGGTTTGGGCCTACACTATCCAGACCCGAACCGAAAAAAATTTCGCCAGCCTAGCCTGGCCCGTGTGGACACCCCTAGGAATGACCATTACTTAATAATGCTCATTCCAATATTTGGTATGTAGTAATAAAAATTCATTCTAGTTCCCATGAAATGTCTAATTTCGTTAACATATGATTTGTCATTTTTCAATATTGGATAGTATTTCTCATTCTCAACTATCACCACTAATTACTACTACCACCACCACCACCACCACCCCAGGGATCGGGTCGGGTCGGGTCAGGTTCGGAATCGGGTCGAGGTTTGGTCCAAGTTCGGTGACAGGTCTAAGTATTTTTTAAATATTTATTTATTTAAATATTTGAGTAAAATTTTAATTTTAATCTGGAGCTTAATCTTAATTGTTGCCAAATATTAGAATAGTAATTGATGAGACTCTTCTGAAAAGCCCTATGATGAAGACACGTGTCATCGGGGTTTCTGGAACAGTGTTGCTCGCATTTAAGCACCATCGGCAAAGAGTGTCCTCTCCCCCGAGGTACCTCTCATGTAGGATCATGCATTCGGTGTATTATACAACAACACGTGTTCTCGGTCACCCGTGTACCTCGGAAGCATACCACCCTCGGTCCCCGAGGGTGAGCCTTTCCTCGGTGCCGAGAGTCACTCCGTCCTGGACGCTTCCTCTACTCCCGGATAAAGCTACGGACGTACAGGTCATCAGCCTATGCCGGTCTAGACTATTCATCATGACCTCGTCTTACACAAGTAATGTCAGAACATGCCGGAATACAGTAATCACAGCCAGTAAGGGATGGACGTGTGGCAAATGATGTCACATCAAAGACAGACGAACGACACGACGTTACTGACACGCGCTTTGGGAAAGCAAACAGTTAATTGCACCCTTCTGGTGACGAGACCGCATTCAATGCGGTAAGGTTCGGATATGAAAGGCAATAAATGCTCCTATTACAGAGCATTTATTGCGTCCTTCCCGAAAGGAGCATATTGTACCGTCGGCGTCCCGACGACTCAGCATTGATTGCTCGGGACCCCGAGC